ACATGAATTTGTGGAAAAAGGAACATTTATTAAATACTGATATATGTTATCCATTAGGTTTTACATTTTCATTTCCTTGCCAACAAGATGATCTTGCATCAGCAAAATTAACAACATGAACAAAAAGTTTTAATTGTTCAAATGCTGTCAATAAAGATATTGTGAAACTTCTAGAAGATGCTATTAATGAAAAATATATAAATACAAAATGTGTCGCTCTTGTTAATGATACAGTTGAAACATTAATGTCTTGTGCATATAAAAATCCATCAACAATTATTGGTCTCATACTAGGAACTGAAACAAATGCATGTTATATTGAAAATTTAGATAAAATTGGTACATGGAATGGCGATTATAATGATCTAAAACAAGTTATTATTAATACAGAACGGAGTGCTTTTAGTGATAATGGTTGTTTTAATTTTATTCGAACTAAGTATGATGAAGAAGTTCATCTTTCATCAATTAATCGTGGCAAAAAAAAATTTTCAAAAAAATGATTTCAGGAATGCATATGCGTGAAATTATTCGATTAATAATACTTGATTTAGTTCAACAAGAATTACTTTTTCATGGTCATCGTGATACCTATAGAGATTATAAAAGTATTGTGATTTATCTTTGTAGTATCAAACTAAAGCTTTAGAATTTTACGATCGAAAACAATACTCAACTGATTTATTTGATAATGAATTAGATTTAAATGATCAGTCTTCACTACGAGATCATTATCGTTAACGTATACTTTTTACAATTCCCAATTGTATTGCATCTATCAATTTTATTAAAGATGAATGTAATGAATTATTAGAACATTACGGCAGACTTATCAATATTGGATTTGGCTGTTTTTTTTCTTGGACTCTAGTTTATGTACTGGAACGCGACGTTTTTTCTTGCTGACTTAAACATAAACGAAAATGTATGCAAAAACAAAGAAGAATTTACCAAAATAATGAAGCAAAATGAAAATTTTATTAAATATCTTACATCTTGCACTAACTATGATACAAAACTGTTTTTACTGTATCGATACATGGTAGACATGTATCGTGACAAAAAAACATATTGATCAAGCATTATCATGGTTCGAAAAGGCACTTATCTATGTTGAAGATGATAATATGAACATTTACTTAGAAGACGTAGCAAAAAGCTACACGATCAATCAGCAATCATATTACGCTATTGAATTATTTAAAAAAATTTTCCACCACAACTCATCGAAAATATATGTGAACAAATATCAGCTTATCATAGGAAAATTAATACTACCGACGGTTTTTTTATTTGACATGATCCCTTATTTGACACTTATCAGAATTCTATCGATAAAACATCAATGTTACTTTTCTATGAAGACTTAGCAGTTGCATACAGAATGAGAACTTTTTATGAATTGGCTCAACAAATGTATCAATACATAATTTTGATAACATCAGACACGACCGAAAATCTGACGGCAACGAAGCAAATAATTGATCGTTGTTTGAAAAAAAAAGAATATGCCATGACAAACTTGGATATTTTTCAAAATCAAAATGAAACTGATTGAATGAATGCGATTTTTAAATTCGCATTGAATTTTTATCTAAAAAAATCTATATTACTTAACTATGAGCACGACTTTCGAGGGTGTGGGTGTGGGTGTGGGTTTGGGTAAAGAGAATACCTACACCCACAACTATCCCTTGAAAAAAATATTCAGAATGCGTTAAGAGTAATCTTATGTATCTCTTGGTCTAAAATGAACATCGATACACCATTGATCTTTTTATTAGATTGATGTTTGAAATCTTATCTTTATGAGTCATATAAATATAAGGTCAGAATAACGTTTCCTATTCCATTATCAGTTCTCTAGAGGTGCAGATTTAAGTACAATGAAGTATGTAATTTGAAGCGAATTCGTATATACCCTGTATTAGAGAAATTTCACATGGAAAGAAATACGTATAAAAGAACTGGATCTTACAGTTAAAAGGTAAGCTGAGCAAAAATTGAATTGGAACATTGTTCTTTTTTGACTCTTCATTTGAAGGGTGTCTTGGAAAATGATAGATATTACTTTTCATTAATACAAAATATACCATTTTATACAGAAATAAAATGTCGATTGATTAATAAAAAAAATTAGGTTTGAACAAACAGATATTAAAAGAAATATTATTAAAATATTGACCGGTACACTTTGTTTGAGAAAGTCGATAGTATCACTTTCAATTAAATAAAATGGTTTCATTCAAGTGGAAGATGAATTATCCAGAAAATTGAATACAAACATATAATTGTTCTAGAAAAATGCTCGATCTATTTGTGGATATGTTTCTAACGATTCGAATCCCTGTACAACATACAAAATCCATACATGAAGAGAAAAAATTTGGTGAAAGATCGGTCAAAATGGATTAAAAAGAAAGAATCTTATTTCGAGTTACATTATGCATTTTTTCGTAAAACTATTCCTACGTCAGATAAAATAATACTGCCCAATCAACTATGGTTTCGCTCAGAATTACTGTCATACGTTCAGCGATATAAAAAAAGCTCTTTTTTTCAGATGAATTACTTGCTTTTTAATATTTTTATGACAAATACATCCATATGCAAACATTAGAATGGCTAACTCAGAATCGTTCTTCATCTTTCATAGATACCAATAAAATGTTTGTTGGTGCAGAAAGAAAAGCAAACTAAGATGCACCCTGTTAAAAAAAGAGAGAGAATAAATTATTTTAGCTTTCAACTCAATCAACGATTTGATTCACTTATTACTCAATCTCAACGACTTCATTTTAATTTTATTCAATGTCATAAAGATGATTTTCGTTTGTGTATAGGCCTTTTACCCGCCTATATCGACAAAATAGAAGAATTAGCTATATCAGAACAAGATACACCTGGTCAAGTTTATGCTTTTCTCTCTTTCTTTCGATTGTTTGTATTATTTATATATCTTCGAATACTTTATCTTCATTTTAATGAAGAAGCTCTCGATTGGAAAATTGTTGAAAATGCTCTTTATTCCTCACCACAAACAAAGATCGACACTTTATCAATAAAAGAAAGTATCAAAGAAAATAGACTCTCAGTAGGAAACGCTACTGCCCGTATTTTTAGGTTAAAGTCTTTACAAAAATTTTCTCTTTTGAGCGACTTCACTCGTATGAACTGGAGTAATTTAGCAAAGATCTCGTCAAATATAGAACATTTGACTATTTCTGGTATACATTGTGAATTTGAAGATCTACAATATATTTTCCGGTGTGTTCCTTGTCTTAAAGATCTTGATGTTGAAATAGCCAGTAGAGTTTCTTTTTTTGGTGAAAAAGCAAAGCGTTCAAAACAGAATATTGCGGTAATGCCGATACTTCGTGCATTCGTCTTATGTTTTGCTGGCAACAGTTTAGTAACAATGGATATGTTAACAGAATATTTGAATTCGATGCCTGTTTTAACATATCTTGAGATCAAAGCACACAGTGAACTTCTTGATGTAAATGCATGGAAGATGCTGTTGGAAACATCATTACCATAGCTAACTCATTTTACTCTTCGAACAACTACATCTCATGTTAAAGAAATCGAGCTCCATAATGTTCTCTAGTCGTTTCAAAGCTCATATTGGATATCAAAACAAAACTTTAGTCTAATGATAGCCGAACATGAACACTGGAACTCTATTGGTTTCGGCATAGATGAAACAAAATCTCATGTTCGGCCTGAATTTGTTTGGCCTATTATCCGGTGTTGGACAACATCCAATCGTACTATTAATAATGATCTTATGATAGTAAATAAAAGCATAAATTTTAAACTTGATGACATTAACATTCCTGAGGGTGTGAGTGTAGGTTTTCTTCATTACATTCTCACATCCACACTCACACCCTTTCATAGCTTGAGAGTCGAAAGTTGGAAACCCAATTGAATTTAAGCTTCAAGTTTTACATATGTATGCTTTTTGTTCTTAATACAATATGATATGTTAGAAAATCAGAATAAGAAATAGTTCCTTGTAGCTCAGCTCATTTCGCTCTATATAGTATTGTAGTATTATCCTACGTTGAGTACAGAGTTAATCATTTTACAGCTCACAACAACATTAATAGAATGCATTTTCTTCTGCTACTATTCAAAGACATCAAATAAATGTTCTTTTGTTTAAAATCTAAGTAGAGAAGAAAATACGAAAAAACAAAACAGAAGTTCTCATCACATTCTAACACTATCAAATATACTATTGATGTTTGTGTTATATTCAGTCGATTTTTTTTTGATTTTATTCTATTAAGCAGAGAAGTCATAATCATTTTTGAATAATCTATCGAAAAAGAAATAATAAAAATTAGCTTCACAGAAACTGCTTTTTTTAAACCCTAGTAAAATTCTTACAGCTAGATATTTGCTTTCGTTTCGTTCATACATAATCTGTATTAATAATTAAAGATTTACTTTGTTGTTTTCATCTTTTTTGAATAACATTTCACAGCTCTATGAATGTTGTTAACATGAAACCAAACGTCACTTGAATCAGTTTTGATCACACCATAAATATTTAATATTACGAAGAAATATTTTATATATTGCTATATAAAATATCGCTTGTGTATAAAAAAGAACTAAAATCTGATTCTGTGCATTTCTTTTTTATTATTATATGATATATACGTTTTTCTAAAACTTATACTAAGCTGCCCGCCCTGAGTTTCTCAACAGTAATCGAATGAAAAAAGCAGCTTTCTTTTTCTACTTCGTGTCGTTATTCCGAGTATTGTCCGACACTTTCTGAGAAAAACTAAAAAGGTTTACTTCCTGTAATTTTCTTCTTTCTTATATAGTTCTTATGACAGTTCTAGCAATTTCATTGAAGGAATTCAGTCGTCATATAATATTTTTTTTCTTTATTGTTTTAAATTATTTATTCTCATAGTCGTGCGTTGCCGTCCGGGCAATCCGAATCGGTTAGTTCAATTTTATTTTTCTCGTGCATCATTTAGTTATGTTCATAGTGATCGTTAACTTTATCAGAAAACTAGAACGTAGTTTACTTTGCTGTTCTTCGTTTCATTGCATCAATACTTTAATTGCTTTTTTTTTAAACGGAGAAAAGAAGAAAGCTAGTTTAGTTTACTTCTTTTTCATTTTACTTATTTCGATAATTGTCGAAAATTTTACAGAAGCAATAGAATGAAAAAGACGCTTTCCTTGTCTTTCGTTCAGTTAATTATTCCGAGTATTGCTCGTCATTTTTCTGAGAAAAATCTAACAGATTAGTTTTATTTAATTTTTCTCTTTCATCATTGGGTTATTTTGAAAATGATGGCGCATTTTATAAAATGAACAATCTAATGACTTAGTTTCATGTTCTTTTTTCCTAATAACTATGTTCCTATTTCGTTCACGTCTTCTGAGAAGAATGGAAAGAGTAGTTTTTTTTTGTTCATTTCTCCTACAAATTCTTTCGCATTTTATAATGGAACTTTAATTAGAAAATTATGTTTACTTTTTTTTTTAATTTTGTTACTCTGTTAGTTCTTGTGTGTTTTATCGAAGAATTAAAATCAGATAACTGAATTTCCTTGGATTTTCTTCATTGAGTTATGCCGAGAGTTGTCAATCATCATATTGAAATGGACCGAATAAATTGATTCTGTTTTGCTTCATTAATTTCAACAATACTTTCCTGGGCCTTAAGACCAAAATAGAATAAATTAGTTTGCTTTTCTCAATTGAGATCGAGCAGATAATCGACGAACATTGCATGCGAAGAGTGGCATTAAATTAGTTTACGTGTATTTACTGTTTTGTAGTTTGTTTCACTCGCAGGTGGATTTATGGTTGTGGATGAAAGTGTTGGTATATTCTTTCCCGACATCCATACATCCACAACCAAATTCCCACCCACACACCCTCATGTCTTATAATGTTCATGTGTGTATGTATATTTACGATGTGAATTCAGATCGATTAGATCAGATAAGAATCACTAGGTATCTTTATATATCTCTATGCATATCCCTCTTCACATACAAACAATAAGTATATATATATCAGATATCAGGGAAAAGGTGGAATATATCAATAGATAACATAACACGGTTAGAAAAAAAATATACGAGTAATTACATCAAAGCAAAGAAAAGAGTAAAGGAAAAAACGCACGAGAACGTACCGAGGAAAATACCTCGCTTAACGAAAAAAACATATAATGATCGTTAAAAATATGTGTATAAAAAGAAAAAAAAAAGGACACATGAATAGTATCTATAATACATTTTTTATGGCACACATGTGAACATGCCATAACAGACACGCATGCGCATTACGCAAACCTTAAACCTATACGTCGATCTCTATTCGACTTATTTTTGATCGATACTCAGACACAAACAGAGAGTAGCGTGATTGAGGCTAAAATACTGGTTATTGAATTATAGCCTTCTTAGCAGACATGTACAGAGGTTTTTGATAGAGCTGATTATGGAAACATAGACATTTAGCTTTACACTCCTGACCATTCGCGGCCCGATTGAGTGAAAGTCACTTGTCCTTCTCCAAGTGCACACTTTGGTTTGGCTTTCTCCGTTAAACTAAATAGTGAACGGTTTTTCATACTAGCAAAAGCAGGTACACGACCAAAACCACTATCACGTGTTAATATATGTTGGTCACACAGTGAATATAAAAACATGTCTAGAAGACCATCACGAAATCCAATATATATGTCCTTTGAATATGTAATATGTTTTACTTGTGTAGTACTTGTCAGTAACTGAATATGGGTGTGATTGACACTGCCGGAATACCATCGATTAAGTGCAATTTTTCTAATGCGAAGTGAATCAGCCATTAGAAAAACTATCGTTTCTGGATTAGAAGCACTTAAGTCTTCAACACATGTGAAGAAACCTCCAAAACGTTCGATTAATGATGGATCATTTGTGTCAACAGAACTATCTTCTTTCATAAATAAATCACCAATGCGTATTTGAATTCCAACTGTTGGAAGTTTTGGCGATAGAAGAGTTTCTAGGCTTGTCTGGAACAATACAGCATCAGTTCGACTTTCCACTGAACTAGCTTCAATAAATGTTGAGAGGCGTGGAATAATAAGCATATGATACAGACAGCCAAAGATATTATCTGGTCGCATTTTTAATATGTTTTGCATGAAATAAGCATATACGCTCGTTGAAGATGTCAACATTTGCATCACATTTCCAGCATGACTTTTAAGAAATAGAATTCGTTCTGGAAATAATTTTTCATAATCAAAGTCTGTCTGGCAACGGTGTGCTCGCGTTATTTGCCATACATTACTCAAGTAGAGCGAGTGATTATGAGACAAGTTTTTATTTAAATTATTCAAATGAGATATCCATGGTGCGATTATTTCTGGACGGAATGCTAAATTTGCACGCATGATCTCGAAGAATTCTGGCCATGTGTCATCAAAAACATAGAATCGTCGTGTTAACACAGCAATTAGGTAGCTTGCAATTAAATGAATTGTGCGATCAGCGATACCAGAATCAAATCGTACCATAACTAGAAATCGAAGATTATGTTGTAAGATCAGATCTCGTTGTTGGTTCAATGTTAGATTTGGTTGACTAATCATTTGAGATATTTCCTTATGCCACGAATGATAATTAAGTATCCAATTTTGAAATTCAGTTGAACAAAAAGATGCATTTGTTATGAGTTCAAACGCATGTTTTCGACGATTAGGGTTACTTTTTGATGAATTAGAAGCTTTATAGACTACATATAACCATTCAGATAGAGCTTCTTTTTCTGATGAAAATATTTTCTGATGACTAACACCTTTTAAGTACGACGTCAACGAACATGGCAAACGAAATGTTGTTTGAAATGCATTTTTAGTGAAATAGGTTGCATATTCTTCTATGCATTCTTTTGAAAGTGGCCAAGTGGGCCAATCAAGACGGATTTCGTTGTTATCAATGGATGATAGAAAAGAGAATGAATATGAAATATTTTCTTTTATCATCAGTGGTACCCGAGTAATGAAAAGGTTTCTTGAAATATCTGACGGTCGACTCGAAGTCGGCGTAAATGACTTTCCATCGAGCTGAATAGAAATAACCGTTCGGTTTAAAATAAATAAAGTAACTGGAATTATTGTAAGAATTCGATTTTCCGACATTGTACGACAAATGAATGAACCATTAATCAATTCTTTGTGTGCATTGGTCAACAGAATCAATTCAGCGAACCGAACTCGAAAAACCAGATGTTGATCATGAATTTCTGGAATAAATCGTGCATTTAAATAATTTTTCCATTGCTGCGAATATAAAGAGAGTATTCTCATAGCCGATTGCGAAGAGTTTGAATCAGCGTGATCTGTAATTAGTGTGATAGTTGATTTGGAATTAACATTATGCACAGATAACTTTGCCATATTTTTCAAGTGAGAAGGAGATGAGAATAACATAAAGGCCAGCCAAAACGATAGTAGAATTCCAAAGATGAATAAGAATTTCGAAAGTTGTGAAGAACAAATTTTTT